TGTCCTTTAATTGGAAAAACTCCCACGCACCCTCGCGGGTGCGGAAAAAGGAGGTGTGACAACTCATAGCTCTTAAACCTCATAAAGTAGTACGGCGAGATTATAGCAAAAGAGTTAAAACCTAAACTAGAAATTGAGGAAATCAATGCCCTAAACCTTTTTACCCTTGAATTATCTTTAATTTAGCATATTGTTGTTTTTAATATCATTTGAAATAGTTAAACAAAAACCCAAGTTGATTGATAAAAATCTTGTATCTGGAAATTGGTTGAGTTGAAAATAGCATTGTCAAGAGTTGTAATAGATAGGTTAGTTCCATGAGGATTCGACTCCGGAATTNAATAGCATTGCCAAGAGTTGTAATAGATAGATTAGTTCCATGAGGATTCGACTCCGGAATTTAAAAAAACGGATTATATTTGCAACGACCGCTTTGTCTTTAGAAGGCATAGTTGGCCGTGATCACTCTATTTCACATGTTATTCTAATTTAATCAATTCAAGTTATTACAGTAAAGAAATACATTTATTTGTGAGTAGATATTTTCGGTAGAATAAAGTATCTATAATTTTTCTTTTTACAAGTACAAATAATGCAATAGTGTTAAAGTTAATATGAGATAAAAATTAACCATACTTAATTTTTAGATAAATAAAAAATAATAGTTTCTTAAATACTATTATCAAACTACACATTTTACCTCCCTAACATAAAATAATTAATAAGATTCATCAATACTGTAATTTAAATTAGTATTCCTTCAAGATTAAATACATAATTACTTTCAAATTTGACATAGAACTTAAGACATGAAGATTAGCGGCGGGCGTTCTGGCAGTTTGGATTGGATATGAAATTTTCGTTTTGGTTTTCGGATTGAAGAAATGACAATCCAACTCCAATCCATATAAACTCGGATCGGATCGGATTTTTTAAGTTCAGCAAACCGATACCCGACTGGTCGCTTTGAGCTTTAGCGCATCGTTCGGCAGTTTGAGGCCATGAACATCTTCAGTTCAGGTACTATGACTTGTGCACATGGTCGTAATTCGAATTCGGGAAGTTTGAAGTCGATTTGGAAAGAGAATTCTCATTTCAGAAGCTTTAAGTTGGAAGAATTGGCTAAGTTGTGATTTTTGAATAAACGACCTCGGAATCGAGATTTGAAGGTTCCAACAGGCCTTCGTATGATGATTTTGGCTTTGGGCGAATGTCCGGATTGGGTTTTGGATGACTCGGGTACACGTTGTTTTCGTATTCATACTACGTTCGAGAGTGAACAACTCAACCTAATATACGTCAATGATTTATATTAGAGAAGAACTCTAATTGCTTCTGCGATCCCTCTCATAGCTGCCAACATCCGCTTCTGCGCTGCCAACATCGCACCTGCGGTGTCGCAGGTGCGTTCCACTACTCCGCTCCTGTGATGAACGCCCAACACTGCCCAGCCCCCTTTCCAGTCGCNACTCTAATTGCTTCTGCGATCCCCCTCATAGCTGCCAACATCCGCTTCTGCGCTGCCAACATCGTACCTGCGGTGTCGCAGGTGCGTTCCACTGCTCCGCTCCTGTGATGAACGCCCAACACTGCCTAGCCCCCTTTCCAGTCGCTTCTGCGATGAGTTTCACGCTTCTGCGATGTCGCTTCTGCCCAAATGTTGTTCAGAACAGCAGAAAAATTAGCAGCTTCAATGTCCAAAATTAACTCCGCTAACCTTCCAAAATCCACCCGAGGCCCTCAGGACTTTAACCAAGTATGACAACATGTCCTAAATATAATACGAACTTAGTCGAGGCTTTAAACCACATCAAACCATGCCAAAATTACGAATCACGCATCGAATCGAATTATGAGTTTTCAAATCTTCCAACTTCTATATTTTGCGCTGAAATATATCAAATCAATCCGGAATGACTTCAAATTTTGCACGCGAGTTATAAATGATGTACCATAGTTGTTCCTATTTTCGGAATCGAAATCCGTCCTCATTATCAAATTTCCACCCTCGGTCGAATTTTCCAAAAAAAAATTCTATTTTCCAACTTTCGCCAAAATGTGTCGAATTGTCCTAACTCTTACGGACTTCCAAATCCGGACACACGCCTAAAGCGAAAATTACCATACGAAGCTATTGACATCATCAAAACTCCATTCCGAGGTCGTTGCTCAAAAGTCAACTCTCCGTTCAACTCTTTCCATTTAAGTTTCAAAATGAGAATTTTTCTTTAAATTTAATTTCGAATCTTTTGAAAACCAAACTCGATGGCACACACAAGTCATAATACATATTACAAAGTTGCTCGGGACCTTAGGTTGCTGAACGGGGCGTTAATTCTTACGACATATTGGGTCATTACATCTTCACCGTAATCATCCAAATACATTATTCAATTAATGAAATCATTATCAACCAAATGCACAGAGACATTAATATGGCCGATAAGAAGTAGTAATAATAAAACCATGTCCAACTAGAAAGTATTCTTATTAGGGATGTATATCAGTCGGTTCAGTTCGGTTGTGAATGTTATTGGCTCGATATATCGGTTATCGGTTATCGTTTATAAATATGCTAAACTGATAATCGAACTGATAAGATAGTGATTATCGGATATCGATTAATCAGTTGTCGATCATTACAATTTACCCGATAAGATAACTTAATTTAGAGGAAAAAGTATAGTGTACAACACTAATTAATCTTATAACCTTGATTCCTTCACTTATGTTCTAAAGAGTGAACAAAAGTTTTGTGGACATTTGGGGACCAATCAGCAGAATATACTGAACACTAGGAATATTAGAGGATCATAATTACAACAGTTGCTTTCCTACAAAGAACTAAGAATATACTGAACACTAGGAATATTAGAGGATCATAATTACAACAGTTGCTTTCCTACAAAGAACTAAGAGGTTTTGTCAAGTCTACTTATCCAAACAGAGTAGAAACAACACAAATAGTAGCCAAGAGCGCAAAAAATAATTTGTAATGTAAAATTTTATATAGTTATAATTTCTAAATAGGTATTTATATAATCAATCTGGTTCGACTTTTACGATTAATTTTTGCTTAAAACCAAATAATTAAATTTTATATGTTCTTAAAACTAAAAATCAAAATCAAATCAAATAAAGAATGTTGATTTTTTTTCCAGTTTTGGTTCAATTTCTCGTGAACACAAAGATAGTTAAATCAATTCTTGAAATAAATCTTTTGAATATTGTATTACTGTAGTACATATTTGATATAACTTATTTATAACATAAAGTCATCCAAAATTGGGATATGTACTAAAATAAAGTTTCATTTTAGTATTATTTTCACAAGGTAAAGTTTCTTTTTACTATTTTTTTTACATAAGTTGGTTGTATATTTGTAGTATTATATGTATATAAGTTGGCTGTATATACTATTTTTACATAAGTTGGCTGATATTTTAGAATTAGTGGGAGAGAGAGATAAAGTTAGGGTTAGAAGAAAATTCAGGGTAAAGCACTTCTCCACTCCCTTCCTTGGCATAACTCTTCAACCTCCTCCATACCCACCAAGCTCGTCCATACCCACCAAATAGAATTCCACAACATTGTAAATTGGAGAAAGAAACCGTCTTTTGGCGCTGGTTTTTGGGATTTTTGGCTCCAAATGAATGTCAGGATAACCACTATATATATATATGAGAAAAATGACTGGAAAAAATACATTGCAAAGTGAAGCAAAATTTCTGAACAGGTATGTATCATTTCACCTACTCTTTGTTTGAATAAGATTCAATAGATTGTAATTGCCACAATCATATATCAAATTATTAATTCATTAATTATTTGTGGCATAGACATTGATATGCTTTTATTTTGTCTCATATGATCAATCTAGATGAGAATAAATCAATTAGAAGATTTTGAAACAGAAACTCTTTAATTTACTGTGTATATTTAGAGTTTTTAGTTTACTGTGTATATTTATAGTTTTGCATGGTGTACTGAAGGGGAAATATTAGATATTATCATAGTAGGCATCTATTTTGTGTATATATTGACGTTTTCTGTCTGGTTTTGAGGGAAGAGTGGATGGATTGTGAAAATATGGTATTAAAGCTTCTGTTTGAATCAAATCATGCTTCTTGGTGGCCCTTGGGAATTTGTTTGATCGGATAATGGCACTTTAAATTTAGATGAACTGAAACAAAGTGTTTTAAGGTGAATATTTTGTAGGGTAATTTATATTTTTGTTGAAACCAGTAAACATTCCTTCACTAGGCTCAATCTTTGTCAGACACACAGCTTCTTTTAAATCTGCTGCATGTATAACTTATAAGATCTTTGGTATAAGTTTTTGAAAAAAATTAATATTATGGAAAAATAAAGGAGCTGTTGATAGTTCCCATACTATTTTTAGTTTTGATATGTCTTTATAATTTTGATATCGTTGCCCAAGTAAGTCTAGTGCCTCTTCTCTTGCTTTTTCTTGCCAGTGAGTGTGCCTAGAAGAAAAATAGTCCATGAGAGCAATGTCTGCGTTGTTTCTTGTTCAGCATTCATCAATTATTTCTTCAAATATGAGCTTCTCTCTTCCAGCAGTATCATGATTAGCTTTCAAAAGCATTCCAAGATAATCTGTTGTAATGTTGTCCATATTGCTTACCATTGCACACACTCTTTTCTTGATTATCTCTGTGAAAAGTTGCTGAATTTTTCTTTCAACTTTCACCATTGAAAAACTTTCATTTATACGATATACGTTTTTGAAAACATAGTTGATGTGCCTTCAAATTAGAAAAATTTCTACATAAATAGATCTTTGGTATGTTATACTAATTACCTAACTCGGCTAGTGATGCTTCAATAGTTCAATAAATTTTAGGAGAAGAAGATAGTAAATTCGTATTAGGAAATGATGTGCATCAGGCTTTCCAGATTGATGATTTATGTTCTTTTTGAGTTTTTCTTTAGTTATTTCTAACTTTTGGTTTGTTAAACTAATAGATTTTACATCTAATGAATATACTAAAATTATATAGTATTTTTGGTAGAATTCTACAAATCAATGGCATCAGGCGGACGTGTCTCTAGACAAACCACAATTACAGGTGCTTCTACTCAAGCAAGCCGATTATCTGATCCATCAAATAGTAATAATCCTACTCCTAATACAGGTAATACGTACCTTTTATTATATTGACTAGGAGTGTATCTATTAATTATTGTTTGTTCTCCTTTTTAATTTGATGCTTATTGCTCATTGTTGTCAGTGTACTATTTTTTGTTGTTTATTCTTATGGATCCTTTTTTTTTGGCTTGTTCTGTGCATTCCATATTGTTTTTCTATATGCAACTAGTATATCCTGCACTTTCTAATTCAGAGTTTTGGTAGTACTATTTTTATTGAAACCTTTGCTGTAAAATTGAAGTAATTTCTTATTGCCAGGTCAATTATATTGCAATTCGAAGGTATATTGGGGATTTTCATTTCTGTGGAAGTCATTATCTGATAAATTACATTGCACCCATTCTTTCTTGTTGGTTTTAGCAAATACTAAGAGTAGCCAAGAACTTCACACCTATTGCTATATTATTTTTGAGTTTATCTTTATAAAACAAACAGATTGTGTTTAAAAGAGGGGATGTAAACAAAGTTTCTGATTGTCGCCCAATAAGAAGTTTCAACAAATTCTTACTTTCCTCAACTGGAAAGAAATAACAATCTTTATATTCCAGCATCTAGGATTCTTTTGTGTTTAAGTTGGAACCAAATATATTAATATTTGAAACATTCATTAATGTTAAACTTGAAACAGTAGAGTTTTCATTTGTAGCATGACAATTAATTACTAATAGATATACATGGTTACCATTTAAGAATTTTAGCAAGTATTTTGAACTGATTTTTACTTTTTAAAATCAGATGATTCAACTAGAATCAGGAAAGGTCGTTGAAGGACAATGGGAAAAGGTCTTGAGAAAATGAAGAAGTCTATAGGGAGAAAGATGGTTATAGACATTCCAGTTGGTAAAGGAAGGCCAGTTAAGGCAATTCCATCAGCAAAGCTATCAAATGAGTTAGGAATTATTGCTCGCAACTTTCTTTCACTTCCAAACAAGTGGAAGGAACTCACAAGAGATGATAAGGATGCAGCATTAATTAGATGCCATGTAAGGATTCTATATTTTGGTAAATTTTATTACATTATAAATATGTTAGTTTTTAATCTTTTACCAGCAAAGAAAATTTGATTGTTTTGTGAGTGTCTTCAAAACTTCTCATTTTGCAGGAGAAGTTTGAAATTAACTTGGACGAGCATTACACCAAAGATAGTTGTGAGGATATTCTGAAAAATAGAAGCCGACAATGACGCTACAAATTAAAAAAGCTATTTGAAAGTGCAAGCTCCGAGGAAGAGGCTCGTAAAATTGAA